CCTTGGGTTGATACACAGGGTGTCACCGAAGCCTGGGGCTCTCGATGAATGTCTGCAGCTAGAATCAATCTTTCTAGAGGAGGCGCTGGACCACCGTGATCCCTGCATTAGTCCTACTAGGCCCTCGTGGATTATCCGGTGTGGATAGACACGAAATAAGGACCCATAAGCCTGTGGCGTTCCCCTTGAGTCTGTTGGATCGGCTAAGAAACATACGCTGGCCTGTTGTCATTTGACCCTCATTCCCTACTCCTTTCAGAGACCACTGTTGCGACTTCCGTTTGGGGATGTTTGTCGGTTGCCGCTATGTTTCTTCTTCCATGATACTATACCCTGGGTTGGTATAATGCGTGCTATGGAGGCTCGGGGATCCCGATGAACCTTTGCAACTACAATCAGCCGTTTTCACGAGGCTCCGGACCACCGTAATCCCTGGGATGACCTCTCGCGGCACCTCCTCAGGCCGCCTCTTCAGTGCTGGTGTCCCACTTCGTGCAGGCCGAGAGGAAGGAAAATGAATTGGCCCTCAGCCAGGTTGCACATCGCCTTCCGGATTGTCGCTTTGCAGAAGGTACTGTGCAACCGCTGCTTTGGGCCGTGGCTTGCTTGCTTCGACGCTGTCTTGCGAAAGAGCGAGCAAGCAACGTGACTTTATCTCACTATGACTCTATGACGTTATCTCACTGTAACTCTATGACTTTATGACTCACGACTCATGGACTCTATGACTCTTGACTGTATCGGCATTTCGAGGTCCGGGTCAGGCTATGAGCCCTTACGCTATGCGTATCTCGATTAAGCGTTCCCACACATAGAGCATAGAGTGAACTACATCGGGTCAAGTGCATGGTACATAGATGACTCCATGACTCCGTGACTCTATCTCACTACGACTCTATGACGCTATCTCGCTGCAACTCTATGACTTTATGACTCATGACTCATGGACTCTATGACTCTTGACTCTGTGACTTTACGACTCTTGACTCTGTGACTTTACGATCCTATACAGTGACTCTATCTCACTACGACTCTATGACGCTATCTCACTGCAACTCTATGACTTTATGACTCATGACTCATGGACTCTATGACTCTTGATTCTGTGACTTTACGATCCTATACATTGGATCTATCATATAACCCCACAATCTTCGCTGATGATGCTTTCGGGCCAATTGTCTTCTAGTTTTTTGAGCATGCAGTGTTTCGTGAGTTTCAGGGTTGGGAATTTTGGAATTTTCTGAGCATTACAGTGTTTCGTAGCCAGAACCTCACAAAACACTGCAATGCTCAAAAAATATCCACTTTTCACAGCCTCAAAACTCACATTTTTTGAGCATAGAAGTGTGTCGTGGTCTAAAACTCACAAAACACTGTAATGCTCAAAAAAAGTACACTTTTCACAGCCTCAAAGATCACTTTTTTTGAGCATAGCAGTGTTTCGTGGTTAAAACTCACAAAACACTGTAATGCTCAAAAAAATCAACTTTTCATTGCCTCAAAGCTCACGAAACACTGCTATGCTTAAAAAATTCCAAAGTTTTAAGGAGTTTGCCCCCGTCATGGCCATAGATGCCAGAATTTTGGAATTTTTGGAATTTTTTGAGCATTACAGTGTTTCGTGAGTTTTAGGGTTGGATGTCCAAGACAGGATATACTGATATACTGTATCACAAGATAATTGTGTGCTTTCAACCGTTGTCAGCGAGTGGAAGTACTATTTTATATGTCTTCTGGAACAGCAAAGGTTTTCATTACTCTGGTTTGACAAGTATGAACAAGGCCAGCCTAGTCGTTACGTAGTTTATTTCATGTATGTTTTCGGAGGTTGGTAGATCCATGGCAGCAGCCGCACTGGCTCTAGTACCTAAGCTTTCTCGAAAATGGCTTTGGCCTTTTTTCGGCGAGCTGCACCGCCTACAAATCCAACACTGTAATAATCGCAAGCCTATCTAGACCTTATTTCACTTCAGATTGAAGACTGTAGGAAGCGGTTTGCATTTTGCTACCATCAGAAACAATGGAGACTTCCTATTCGGTTACCTACGATACATGAGTTTTCATTCAGTTAACTCTTATTGATGCTGTCCTATACCCCGGAGAAGAGTCGTAATTAGTCCTGCTTCATGTTTGGAAGGTTGCAAGAGCTCTCTTACTTCTTGCTGCAGACGAGCTTTCTTGTGCGCCCGCATATGCACATGAACTTTTCAACTCCAGGGGAGCTTTCCCATTTATTATGAGGCAAACAACAACTATTGGAGTATTGCTTCAAAAATATACGCGCCCGTACATTCGACTTCCTTCATGTATAATGGACAGGACATGAAAGAGCTCTGTGTATTTCGTAATTCATAAATCAAATGCTAGAGCGATTAGGCCGCATCAGAATCGGACGCTTCACGAGCAGCGGGAAAAAGATGGCCCAAGCACGCAGACGTCTTCGTAAGAGAGACAATAGTATTTTTAAAATTGGAGGAATGTTGACAAATAACACACCATAGAATGTAAAAAACACGAGGTTTTTTAGTATTACATGAACAACACTAGCACGCCCTCCAGCATCTCAGCTTCTCCAACACATAAACTACCATAAATCCGCGGCCGAGATTCGGCGCCAGGTTTTTACACATATCAAACCCGCGCCTTGCAGCAGCACGGTTTGCATGCACATGAGGTAAAGCACGACTGTATCGGTATTTACGGTGTTTTCGGTATATATGAGTTGTCGAGCAATGTAGAGAAACAACCTGTGAAATTGTGTGGAAGAGGCGGGTGTGGATCTTGGGGGGGGGGGGGTGACCATATATTAGATGTGTACATGTACATGTATATATATATATATACACACATGTGTATATGTATGTGTGTATATATACATATATGTATATATGTATATACGTATATATGTATATGTATATATATATATGTATATATGTATATATGTATATATATATACATATACGTATATGTATGCGTGAATGTAGGTATGTTTGTCTGGATGTCTTTATGTACATATGTATATATAAGTTTAGGTATAAATCATTCATAAACACACAAATACATAAATGCTGAAAAGATGAATGAGTGAATGGATGAATGAATGGATGAATGGAGGGAATGGAATGGGATGAAATGAAAAGGAAAGGAAAGAAATAAATGAAATGGATGAAATGATGAAACTAATGACACGAATTAGATGACTGAACTGAATGAATTGAATGAACTGAACGAGCTGAATGGAATGAAATGAGCTGAATGGAACGAAATGAAGCGAATGGATGGATGAATGAACCGGAACGAACGAATGAATGAGTGAATGAATGAACCAACTGTGCATTGGCATTCCGGTCAGTCTGCCGCCAGCCAAGACCGTGATGCCGTACTACCCCCTCCTATATACACATGTAGGCATGATGCACACATGATCTATTTGCATTGATGCCTACTGGGATCAGAGCCAGCTGCAAGGTACCTGACCAAGCTTGCGGGCCGATGACATATACAATGACTCCATGGCATTGTGCTGGTTCGTCATTAGCACAGGACGGATGTACATGTGTGATCCAGGCAGTTACAGGTCCAAATATTGCCTCGTTCAATGTGCTGCTGGTGACCGGGTAGCCGGTTTTCCACAGAGGGTTTTCATTCCTGACACATTCTGACGTGAATTTGGCAAAGTTGTAACCGAGCGTGTTTTGCCGTTGAGCAAGATTGTTGACTTCAATCCTGTAGCCCAGAATTTCAAGCGTTTGTCGGGCGCAGGATAACACATATAGCAACCACTCAAGAGGCTGCAGTTCATGTCGCCGAACCCGAGTTATGAGTACTTGCACAGCCGATGCCGTCCCGTGTCAAGTCGGGCTTGCTGACCAACAAAAGGTCTCCGGAGGCAAAGGATTGTTGGCTACTCAACTACTCATTACGACCGCTGTCTGCACAGACTGCATGGCAGTGTGCCTGGTGTCCTGCCATCGAACCGGGCTGTCGCTTCGGCATAGGATGGATGCAAACGCAGTGTGGGTGTATGTGGGCGGGCACTCGTGGAGGCTTGATGGGGCTTCTCTGACCTTTGCAAATCGTGTCTTGCTGACGTGTTTGACTTCTGTGTCCGCTTGCTGGCATCTGAGTGTGTGTCTTTGTCTCTGTTTCGGCTGTTAATTTGTTTTCTGCTACGAGCAGAACAGAAGCACCGAACTGCGAAAGCACGGTTATCAGTAACGTGTGCAGGGCTGACAAAAAGCTCTGCTCGCTGAGCCGGCGCGTCGCTGTCGACAAGAAGGCAGTGATGCGACCTGGGCCCCTGGGCTCTCCACAGAGGCTCTTCGAGCCGGGCAGCCGCAGCCCAGCGAGGCCCAAACGATGTTTTTATCTTCCCCCCGAAGGGGGCCTTTGAAGGACCTATGGCCGTGGCTTCTCAGGAAGCCACCCGCATGCGCTTGCAAGCTTCTCACTTTCCCCTGCCCAGCCCCCTCTTCCTCCAATTCCATCACATTTGCTAGAAGAGAAAAAGATCAGCTGCATTTGTTGTGAGCTTGCGCTTAAGGAAGATTCATTCACTAGTCGGTTGCGCGGGGTTCCGTGGCTTGCATCCGAACCGTGCCGTTGCCTGTTTTCATTTTTGCTCTCAGCTGTTCCACATGCCAACCACTGAGCCATCGGAAGCACAGCCAATTGTCCAGGTTCGCGTCTTTCGCGATATTAGGTTTTGCTGGGTTCGCGAGCGGCCAGAGCATGACATTGCACATAGCAGTTTTCACATCCCCAGCTGGCTCAGCTTTGAATGGAAGCTTCCGAAATTGGTGCAAGTTCTGTTTACTCCAAGGTTTCTCGTGTGTAAGAATGGGCTCCGCATTTGGTTTTTCTAGCTGCTGAGATCCATAATTTGTAATTAGGCATGAAGGCAGCAAGTCAGATTTCTGCTCCGCGTCTGGAGCCACTTCACTCCCTGCAGCCCTAGCGACACGCAAGAGACCAGCAGAGCTCCGCGCTTGCCTCGGATGGGGGCCCCCGCCTTTGTCATCGGCTATGTGGTCCATCCGACCGCTTTAAGCTCGACCCACGTTGTTGTCCGCGGACGCTCAGATTTCCGTCTAAGCTCATCCACATACAAGGTTGGCATAAGCCTTGCGGCAACGCTCGACAGTGACAGGGTTGCAGGTTTCGTTACTGCTTGCCAGAGGAGTTTCGGAACCTTCTAGCCTCTGCAGCTTTGAGATCGCTGTGCCGGTTTTGCGCGTCTTGGCTCAGAGACAATCACGATCCAATCACGAACTACCTGCACCAGCGCACCGTGCGCCGGAGTGCACATCCGATTCCGAACATGCTACCCGGTATCAGTTTCCAGTCTCCTGGCTATAGGCTATGTCCAATGTGTGTCTGTTAAACCGAGGCTGCAAGAGAGAGTCTGCCTGAAATGCTGCTACCCGGGATGCTTAAAGCTAAGTCAGGGCTGAACACATGCCGCATGGTTCCCGTCAGACTGAGCGTAGCTCATGCAGAATGTCACTCCTTAGCGTGTGCAGTGCTTCAGGCACTTAGTAGTTTTCCGACCTAGGCACGGGAGGACAAGGTTATGCTCCGGTGTCTACAGACGCGATACACGTCACTCTCAGACGTCTTAGAATTCGCTGCATCCCCATTGGCCATCTAAGGCTTCTCTACTGGCTCAACTGGCTCGTCTTGCTGCCGCCTTCATCTGCATTGCTGCGACGGCATAGCGTCATCTTGGCAGCAGAAGCTTCGACTCGGATGCTTTGGACTTTGGGGTTCTTGTCGAGCCAGGGCCACCGGGCCACCGCCTTGGTGCGAGCTTTTGAAGATGAGCTTCCCGATTTTGGAGTTTGGGGCGGGTGTCCGTGTGCTCCTGCGTCTTCACGCTTCATGTCTACGTTTGTCCCAGTCTCTGCAGTGTGAGGTTTCAGAGGCAGCGGTGTTGTCGGACCCCTCTCTGGAGACCTGCTCTCCACTGGTGACCCTTTGCTGCGCTTGCATTTTGGGACCTTAGGATGTACTCTGTGATGTCTCTAGAGTCGTTAGAACAGATTCCTGACTTGGACATGAAGAACTCCAACATTTCGGTCAGCACTTCCACCTTTGCAATGACACCTGTTTTAAGCAAACCAGTTTACCTTCCAAGCTAGCGTTGGGCTGAGGAATCACGAGAGCTTCTCGTCGGTAGAAGTGCGGCTAGGTGGGGTGCCAAGCCAGCTGGCAGCTCGAATTATCGAACATCGCATCACCAGCTTTATTGACACGAATCCAAGTTGACGCAGGGACACCCGCCCAGAAGTTGAACTTGGTGGCAGACACCGGGAGCAACAATGTGCCCGGGATGCGTTGTCACTGCTACCAGAGAGCATCTATTCATGACAACCGTGGGTGTGCAGGGTTGTGAGGCACTGTAATTATGGCCGGCCAACATAGATTGAAGGTCTGAACACTGCAGTGCAGATACAGGAAAAAGCTGCAACAGGGCTGCGAGATCAGGATCTTTCTCCTTTCCGACTCTCATTGGCGTTTGTAACTGCGCTGACTGCACAGAACAGGTTTCAAAGAAGGCTTCGCTTGGATACTGTATGTTTGGATGCAAGGCTGAGACTTTCGATTACGGAATGCAGCAGCTGCCAAAGTCTGTCCGGTAGGATTTGGAAGCTCAGCTCCAGGTAATCGTCATGTCCTGTGCCTGCCTTCTGACGAAGAGCTGCCCCAAGTCGTTTGGCACTTGCTTTCGAGGTGCCACGGGCCGGGGCCAGGTTTCCTTGGAGTCTTTCCCTATTCGTTTTTGGTTCTACATGAGCGGGTCAGAACTATGAGGAGCACATGTGATATGTGAAATCTTGGCAAGATCAAGCCATGATCCAAACCTTCAAGCTCCCGCGGCCTCCAAGCTTGATGTGGGACATGATGCTGGTGCTGCGGCGAAAGGCTATGGCCTGCGAGTGGAGCTGCGAGAAGTATCAGTGTTCAACTCTCAGAAGGTATGCCGTCTTAGCACTCAACCTCGCACGGGTTGAAAACAGGCCAGAAGAGCACTCAAGACTTCTCTGAGCCAAGCGGCCCTAGCGGAGATTTGAGCCCGAAGGGGTAGAAACTTGTGTCAAGCACTGGATCGCGAGGCGAGAACGTCTCAAGCACCTTCGTGCTGCGGAATGCCTCTGCCTCTGTCCTGGGCAGCGCCTCCCCGCGGGACGGGGGAGGGCGAGCGCGAAGTCGAGGGAAGCGCAGGCACCCGGCGCCTGAAAAGTGCCCCCCTCTTTCTGCGCAGGAGAGCTGGGGCGGAGGCTCGGCGCCCGAGTCGCTGCTCATCGAGTTCGGCTCGGGTCGGATCGGTGCCTTCGCCGCTGGCCTGCGATTTCACAGGATTCAAGCATGTCCGGCTCTGTGCAAAAGGGCCTTCCTTGCCTAGCCTTAGGCAACACAGTGGCAACACGATGCTTCCTTAGCCTTAGCTTCGATCCAGAGTTGTGTGGGTGCTTGCGACGGCCTGAACTGGTCAGGTTGCTAGCGACGTGGTCCATGTGGGCTCCGTCCGAACTTTCTTGGAGGCTCGGGAAGCAGGCTAGCGGCTAGGGAGCAAAGAGGCTACAGAGCTGTGCGTCTTTTTGAGTATAGTCTTCAAGCCTTCGGAGTTCAAGCTCGGCCGGTTCCGTCGTGGCGGGTGGTCGCGGCAGGACTCCCTGCTGCTTATGGTGAAGCAGCAGCTCGGTGCAAGTCTGCGGCATGCATATGTTGGGGCTAACTGGGACTTTGCCGCGACGTGCAGTTCTGTGAGAGCATCGAGCTCTTTCTGTTGGTGCTCTGCTGAGCCCTCCTGCACCCCGTGCTCAAGAGTGAGACCACCCACGCTCCCGAGCCGAAACTTCCGTGCCAGCCTCCAAGGAAGCTCAGCGTGCCTGGCCCCTTCGAAGGCATCCGATGCTCCAGCTTGTCCGGCAGGGTCATGCAGGGGCACGAAGTACCTACATTAAGCTGGATTCCAAACCCAGAAAGACCCACGATGAATTGCATTTCTTTTTTTTGGATGTCTGTACGTCCTACAAGTGGCAGTCAGGCATCCTTGGACTTGGGCAGCCACCGCAGGGCGAGGCGAGGTGTCCCTGCCAACACAAGCTTGGAAGTGCAACATGTGCAGCTGATGAGAGCAATTTTGCTTTCAGGGAAGCACGGTTGGGGTGTTTGCTTGGGACGCTCATGGTCGGCATCCTATGACGGATGGCCTCACAAGGGAAGCTTCGCGATGCCAGATTGCGCGTTGGAGCATGTGCCTGCCAGGCGGCCGCCAAGAAGCAGGTAGTATCTGGCTTCTTGGAGCAGGCGTGGGGGTTCTGTAGGGCCATAGGCCGAAACGTGCTAGGCATTCGTTGGGCTGTGGGAAGCTTCCTCGTGCAAGACTGCGCAGCCCCACTGCATGTCCAATGTGTTTCCCTCGCGACACGAACAAGCTTGTGGACTTATCCGGGCATTGTTGGAGGGGGCGTTGGCTGAAAGGCTGGAGACGACTCAGACGTTTCGGTTGTCAATCGCACGAAACAGGCTCCACGGCTCGGCCATCATTCTTCACCGACTTGCTCACGGTACACCACTCGGACCAGGTAGACAAAGCGTGCACGGATGCGCTCTTCTTAACAGAAGGGTGCGGGACCTTCTGGGCCTTGAGCTATGCTTTCAACTCGCTGCCAAATCTGCATTGACGTAGCGCACTGACATGCACGGCTTCAGTTGGCGCATGTGCAAACTCAAGTGCACCGACAAGTCCGTCGCAAAGCAGCTGCAGCTACAGCTGCTCAGAATGCAGTGCAGAGAGCTCAAGTGCATCGCGGCCAGAGTCCCCGCCAATCGAACCCCCAATCAAATGTTCGGACGTGTTTCAGTTTGGAAGACCCAGGTCAATGATGCAGCAAGGAGAGAGAACAAGTTCAGAGGGCTGCAGTGGAGCTGTGGCCAAAATGCCTGCGACGAAGGACAGGACACGCACTGGCCCGTCGATGAAAGGAAATTTCGTCATGGAATCGGAAACCCTGTCGGCGCGACGGCTGTGCCCAAGCTTGCAATGACTGCGACTGTAGCCTCCACGCGAGAGCCATGCTTCATCTCTACTGCAATTAGCAAACCCGGAACTGCGACGCCAGACGTGCTCGCACGAGCTAGAACAAGCAAGAACCGTCAGTCATGGAGCTAACGCTGAAGCATCTGACAAAACTCCATCTAAGAGCGATGTCAGTGCCGTACTCAGCCTGACAATCGTCTTCCGCGTCACACAATGAAGGCATGCTGCGATCTACTAGAGAGGCAGACATTGCGTGGACTTTTGTGCACTTGCTACAAACATCCACAAACAAAGATGGACGGCTATGGACGGCAACTTGAGCGAAACATGCTTGTGCGGTACGCGTGTTATTTGCGGACATTCCCGATAAAGTCAGAGTAAAGTCAGGAATGGATCGAAGTTCGTGAAGTCCAGAAGCTGCTGACTTGTGACTTGGAAGACAGCGTGCCATCGCCATACAAGGATCCGTGGCATGTGCGCACATCTGTGCAAAGGACTCTTCCGTTATTAGTCGAAATGACAAAGACCCAACTTTTCGAGAACATGATCCAAAACTATGGACCACACCAACGAGCTGCATAAGGAAATCCAAGTCTTGATGATTCCTTTGGAAGGTTACCTGCTGACAAAGCAACTTCATTCTCCATTTGTCTTGCTTAAACCATCATGAGAGAGAACAACATGCCGCTGACGCCGTCAGCCAGGCAAGTGAGGCACCATCACAGCCATCACAGCATGATGGGTGAAGCCGCTACAGGACGGGTTCCCTAACTTGGAGTCCAGGGGCAGCCTGAATTTGGCAAGGCCAAACAGCCCATGAGCCTGAGGCTCTGGGCCACAAGACGATAGTGTGCACGTCAGCAGAAGCCAGGCAAACATCCAGCGATTCTCGATGTGCTTCAACTATGAGGCGCCTTTGCTTCGTCTCAGGTGCTGTCAAGCCATGGATGCATGGTCAGATGCAGGATTTGAGAATCTGAAGAGTTGGGAGATGCAGCGGCTCAGAGTCAGGTGTTTTTCCATTTACAGTCTTGGACATCAACAAGCAAGGCCGCAGGGCGTCAGCAGCAACGTTTCTAGGAGCCAAGTAGTGACAAGTTCTCAGCCTTCGAAGCATCCACCCAGCCGCCATCCAGCACTGCAAACTGGTAATGTAATGTCGCTGCTTGGCGCTTTTCCATGTCTGGCCTGGAACGCGCTGTGCCGTCCAGTCTGCTCCGTCGCGGTGCGGTGCCAGGGCAGTCGGCTTTTGGATGCTTTTGATGCGGAGAATTTGAGGTCAGAGGCGTCAATTCTCTAGAGCTTCAGTAGCCGGCAGAGTCAAACAAGAAGTGTTGAGAATCCCAGCTCCACAAGGCATCAGCTCCGAGTGGAGATGCTGCCACCTGGCAGGGCGGTGGTCCAACTTCTACGTGGAGTCTTCCACGTAAGAGCGTATTGACGTATTGTATGTGTGATGCGCGAAGCTGTGAAACCTAGCTGCAATCGGATTTTGGTGAGTGATAACACACGACCGAGGCTGCTGGTCATGCCAGTGATTGTGCCTGTCCTTTATGGCTACTCCATGATTGTGGGTGACTTGCCGTACATATGGGCAGTGCTCTGGGTCATTCACACATGTTTGTTCTTCGTGCTCGCGGTGGTCGGCAGCTGGCTATACCGGTCAAATTCGTTGCGGTCCTTCGGTTACTTCATAGAGGCCCCATGCCACAGCAACGACCTCTTGATAATGCTGTCCTGGCTCCCCCTGGTCACGGCGGGTGCGCCGTGCTTAATTTGGGGCAGTTTCCAGGACATTTGCGATACTTCGCTATTATTGGTTTTAGGGTTTCTGTTCGTTTACATGCCTCTGCTGGATGAGCCCCGAGTACTTCCTGTCCTGTGGGTCTGCTACAGTGGTGCAGCTGGAGCAAGATGCGCTGATCTCCGTCTCCGCACTTCCAGTGCTTCCGGCGTCGAGGTTTCCAGCTTCGCTGTGCGTGTGCTTTCGGGAGAAGCGGCAGTTCATGCTGCACTCAGGGCACGGATGCTGTACCTCAACCGGACACGCACGCCTCTGACAGCATCGCTTCTGGAAGAGAGGGCCCAGCTCCAGGTGCAGCGGCCAAAGGGTGTCGAGTACTGGCCCGACCGAACAGACGGAGATGCAGCCAGGATTGTTCGACAGGTTCGAGCTCGCCGGAGGCAGCGCAGGGAAGAATTGACAGGTACCTTCGTCTGGGCAATCTTTTTCTCACAGAGCCTAAGCCCCGACTTGCTTCTGCACATTCTTTCCTTCCTCCAAAACGTTCCATTACGGCAGTATGCAGTATCTCAGTCTTCGACGTCTCTGATTCCGACGAGATCGAACATGGGGCCGTCTGAGTCTTCCTCTATGTCTTCATTAACACTCCTGCGCAGACGTTTTCAAGCAAAGCTGCGCAGCCGTCTGCACCCAAAGCCTGCCCCTGGCCCACAGGAACAAGAGAGCCACACCCAAGAGGGTAGATGTTGTCCGACATTCCAGGTGCTTGGTATCATTCTCAGCCTTGCTTGGATCTTGTTGATACCACCAATGATTCTCATGCAGCAGGGTTACTCTGAAGAGGCTCTTGTTCTGGAAGTGTAGCACAAGACCGTCAGTTCCAAGCACTTCTTTCAAGACTTTTCGCCGGATCGTTTCGACAGTCGTGAAAAAGTGCGCTTGCCATGGCTGAGGACAGCAGTAGGATGCCGCAAGAATAGAAACAGGTAACTCAGGTGCCTATTCCCTGATCGTCCCACTACATGAAGGAGGCTACAATTAGAAGGAAACGCTTGAATCCCTTCGCCAACACAAAGAGCCTAGCGCTGCTGTAGCTTTTGCAGGGCGATGGTGTGCTCGGCCTTCATGCCAACCAGTCCCCTTCGCTGTGGCTGCGATCTCTGGGCACCTGGTCGGAGAGTTCGAGGGAGTCCGTGCCAAGCTTTCTGTGGCTGATGCAGGCCAACTGCACTGGGGCTTGGAACTGCAGGGCATCTCGGTCGGCTCAGGCGCAAGGGTTCCTTTATGTTCAGGTGTTGCCTGACAGGCTTAGGCCATGGCTAGTACGCAAAGTGCGGGTGTGATCCGCGGAACGCAGGCTTGTTCTCACCGTGACAGCCAGCACGGCTTGCTGTTGTGTTTGCGTCGTAGGGCGGTGCTACTGCACCACCTTCTAAGGAATCCCACCCACAGTGCTGTGTATGCCGGGCGCAGGCCAGATTTCCTTTTGCGCTCCGAAACATAAGCAGCCGGGTCAGCGGACCGCCTGTGGAATGCACCTTGGTTTGCAGCTGAGCTAGACTCTATCACGTTTCTGGCTAGCCTCTTTAGACGATTTCCCCTGGTGCCACATGCCTTATTGCCGACTACGCGACATTGCATGCCAAGGGCTCTCAATGTTGGAGCTGATGCTGTCCCACTTTGATTTTTCTTTCGCTGTGTCTCCCTTTCGGGACTCTTGCCCAATGTTACGTAAGACCGAACAAGTGGCCAGGTTCATTCTGTTGGGAGCGTTGAGGGCCACTGCGGTGACTCGTTCGGTTCCCTTGCTGTGGTGCGGCCCGCAAGAGTGAACTGCAGTCCCACTTCGGTTGAGCATTGAAGCCTTAGCCATAGAGTGCATCATATGACCCCACATATTCAGGATCCCGGACTCGGGCACCACTCTCATCAATGGTCCCCGCGAGCAAGTGCTGCAGCTGTATGAGGATTGCTTTTCAGAGACTTCGTGCTGCACACGGTATCATTCCACGAACAGGCATGCTTTAGCAAAGCATGACTGCGGTTTGTCGTTGCAGTTGGAGAAGCTGCGCTCTGTCACCGTACCGTTGTGCATTCATCATGTGCTTGCAGACTAGACCCTTTTAGCCCTCGCCTCGCCTTTAGCCTTGAACGAATCTTGGGGCAGGAGATTTGTCGCAGCTGGCCGCGCTGCATGGAGGCGCAGGTGGCATTGGAACAGGCGCGCGCGCGCGCGAGCCTGCAGGGTGAACGTTGTACGAAGTGATCCTAAACGAAGCCACCGTAACACCCGCAACTCCCCACGATGGTATTCCCCATGTCTTTGACAAACAGCGAGCGGCACCAAATCTGTTCGGTGACACACGTCGCAAGAACACCAGCATTGCATGCTGCATACTAGGAACCTGAGTGGTGCTCTGATAGCAGGCAAACCTACGAGCTTGGACGGTGCTGCAGTATCTGTGATAGCGCAAAGATGACAGGAGCTTGGAAACTTGACCGCCGAGAACCAGACTTTGACGCCAGCCTATAACGATTTCGGATATGTTTTTCAACCCTCTCCAGGTGCATTGCGAACTCGACGTATCTTTGCAATGTCGAGCGGTTGTGCGCAGGTGGTTGAGAGTCCATATCCTGCGCCTGTCGTCAGAATGTGTGGCTATCAAGGATAGCAACCAGGTCCAGGTCAGTGTCTGTGTCAGACGTGCCTCTTTCGGTTCTCTTTCACGGACGGTCGCGCCGGCCCTCAGACTTTGCAGCAATTGCAAAGCGAAGGCCCTTTGCCCGAACAGAAGCCTCACGAGCCGCCGTCATAATACAACAAGACCAGGCCAGGCTTGCTTTCCACCTTCAGTGCCTGAAAGAGCCTGCCACTGCAGAGATCCACCAAGGAGTGGGGTTTCGCTGCTTCAGCACGGAGTTCCCGGACTGGCCGCCTGACTCAGAGTTGGGGCAGTCAGGAGGCTTTGGAGAGCGCTCACCGCTCTGCGACTCTGCGGCGCGTGACTTTCTCAAGTCCAGGTTGCAGCCGGCTGTTCCGTCTAGAGTCTAGCCACAGCAAGCGGGCTCCCGTCAGGGTACGAAAGCGATCATCGCCAAAGTGCTTCATATCCTTGCAGGCCTGGTGCATCGAGAAAGACACGCGGATTAGTAAAACCGGTTTCTTAGGGGTGCTTCACCGTCGTTGACGTCCATGACATGAGTCAGCATGTTGACATAACGCAATCGGGAGCTTTCAGCAGCGTCCTTCACTCTTGATCCGAAGTCCTCTGTGGACCGTAACAATCCTAGCGGGTTGAGCCCTGCGGCGGGTTTGCAGGATGTTTTGTATTTTTTTGTGGTTTTCTATGTGCTTTGCTCCGGTGTTCCCGTTCTACCTGCTGCTTTTGCTTGTGGTTTTCCTCTGCTTGTTTGTGTTGTTGCTTGTCTGCTTCTCTGCTTTTCCGCTTCTCTGTTTGCCTGCTTGGCTTTTCTGTTCCGCAGCTTATCTGCTTTTCTGTTGTTTTTTCTGCCTTCTGCCTGTGTTTACTTATCACTTTTCGCTTGTTCTTGCTTCTGTCTGCTTTTGGCCTTTCTGCTTTTATGCTTTGCTCTTATGCTCCTCCGCTTTTCTGCGTTACTACTACTACTACTACTACTACTACTACTACTACTACTACTACTACTACTACTACTACTACTACTACTACTACTACTACTACTACTACTACTACTACTACTACTACTACTACTACTACTACTACTACTACTATTTTTTCAATTGAACGCTGCGCGAGCGTGCTCTGCGCTTTGCGGGCGCCTTTGGTCTCGTGCACTCGTGAAACTGCTTCTAGCATGCATCGCTCATACCTCTCTAATCAGCTCAAGCTACTGAAAACTACAGCTACAAAAGCTTCCTCCTCCGACGCCTTGGTGTGAACAGACGCGTCCATCTGTGCACCTGTCACAACAATTAGGCCGTACTTCAGACGAAGCCGACACCTGGAGTATCCGTCTCGTGGCGTCCCACACGGATTACTCATGTTGAAGACAGAAGGCCGTAAGGGTCATGTGCTCATGACCGCGTGTACCTGCATGCATCGCCGATGGAATGGCTGTTGGCAACTTGGACGTGGGCAACTCTCTGATGCAGTGATGTGCTGTTTGTAAGCGACTAGCTCGCGGTTCACAGGCTTCCGAAGAGATTTGCTAAGCGTCGGAAGAGGTCCGAATTCCCAGAGTCTGTGACATAGGGGATCAAAAAGTCTGTGACATATCTCTACCCTCACTGGTCGTGACCTTTTGGCCACTGCTGGGAGTAGCTGTGCCAGGACCACTGCTGCCACCAGTCCCAGTCGTCCTCTTGGGAGGAGCGTGCCTGCCTGGCCCACTGGGTCGAGGATGAAGAGGAGGGGGCATCGCGCTGACGCTTGCCCTCTGTGTCAGCCTCTTGCATCTGTGGGCGCTTGTTAGGCGCAGCAGCAGCCAGTTTGGCCATGCGCTTGTCTTCCTCGTGCCCCTTGTCATGCTGAATCCGCATCTTCATGATGGAGTAGGCATCTTTGTTGGGTTTGACCCTGAAGACACGAGCTGGGAGTCCGGCTGATTTGGCCGTCTCATTGTAGACTGCCACGATGGTAGTGGCGATCATGTTGAACTCTACCCACGAAGGGAAGTGCTGCTGAAAGTCCTTCTCGTCCCACATCTTGTTGAAGCAGGCATGGATAAGGCCATGCACCTTTGTGGGGGCATCCAGCTCGCGATAGGCTCCTCCCGAGCCTGTGGCTATAGTGACCTTCCCATCGCTGGTGAGGACCCGCCTCACCGACATGGCGATGTCCCATGTGAGGCCTGTTTGTGTCCTTACTGACTTGATGGCAGAAAACAGCGGAGGTACCTCGCGGAGTGCGTCCATCCTGGTAGACCAGAGGGTCTGCTGCTCGTGGTTGGTGAGGCCTCCGAGAATGACGGGAGCCACCAGGATATTGATGGAAGCCAAGGCCCGAATCCAGTCCTGGTGGGACTGGGAGCTCAGCAGTTGAGCCAGCTCCTGCCTCGTGTATCGTACTGTCTGTTGTGGAGCCGGCTGTGGAACATAACCAACGGGTGCCGCATTGGTTTCCGGGGCTCATATGCTGACGGGGGACGGGAGGAAGGAGGAGGGGGCGTGTGGGAGCGCGTAGCGGCCAGGGTGGCAGGGGCAGGGGAAGAGGCGGACTTGGGAGGGTGCGGAGGGATCGGGGAAACAGGGATAGCCGGTGGGGGAGCAGGTGCTGCCGAAGAGGAATTCTCCGGAGGCTGGGGGCATGGGGTGGGCACCGTGGACGGTGGGGCCTTAGCCGGAAGCGCTGGGGCCGCCTTCGGTGCTTCCACCTGGCTTGCCTTGAAAGCCGCCTTTTCGGCCGCTGTGGAAGTGAAAGGGCAGGGGGGGAAGGCGGCGGCTCAAAGCCGGCTGCTTTGTCTGATCCTTTAGTCCTGGTGCTGCTGGGTGGGAGAGGAATCTCCTGTGGATGCTTTGGGGGAGGGGGAGGAAGTGGTGCGAGGGTTGCCGACATGTCGCTTGGTGCCGCAGGTTGTGACACAGGGTCATGCTTCTGCGTGACAAAGTGGTTTTTGAGGCCGTGGCTAGTGCTGAACTGGATCTGTCGGTTATGCTTCCGGCAGTGGAGGCAGCACAGCCACATGGAGCCTGAAACCTCCATTTGTCCCAAGCCGCGAGGGATGAGCTCCAGCACATCCTGCTCTGTAAGATCTTGGTTATAATGATGGGTCTCGCGGACTGTGGCCATGAGCGCCGCAAAGGAGTTGTGCTGGATGCTGTCTGCCACATAGGTTTCAATGTCCTCCTGAGTAGGAGGAGGAGGAGCTGATGTGGCGGTTGCCGT